TAGCCAGGTTGCTTGAATTTGGACACGTTGAGCTTTCGGCGAATTTTCAGCAACCTCATGGGTAGTACATACAAGTGGATACGTTATTGTTTTGGTTTGCTCCGTTTGTGATATTCAGTGCGTTTCCGGTTAAGAGTTCTCCTAGTGTGCTCCGTCTCTCACTTTAATCCACGCCTGTTGACAGAAAAGGTTGTGCAAGTGATTTCAAGAGTCCACAGGACTGGCGCTTACTAGTGAACAGCGTTTTCGGTGCCTTTTTATGGGTAGTAGCCGGGGCAAAAGTTGGTAGTCGGTTTATTATCGACCTTGGTCATTAATACACACGCGGTAAGCGTTTGAGTTCGACCAGGTGATCTAAAATCTTATCGTCACTTAATTTTGTGCAGATTGAATCATCCTTGTCTTGTTCTGACGTCAAAGGAATGTGGATTTCAATAGGAAGTCCAGAATTTCGGCAACTGCATGCATACAACAATCCAGCACGTTTGAAGCTTCCGTGAGCTACTAGGAAATCCTGACGAGTGAGTCAAACGGAACCATTCAAGGGGTTGGGAACGTTCATTCATTCAACTCAGGTGTGCACAGCATGGGCTTGCCTGTTGTGAGAGAGGTAGGGCGACACGTGAGTGACACACGAGTCCAGTACTTCCTTGGTTTGATGTGAGCTAACCAGGATGACTTGATAGCAGCTGAATGTTAGTAGTCTGTGGAGATTTTCGAATTTCTAATTAGATTTCCTCCAGCAAGTGAAGCTAAATCCGAACTTCACTGTCTTATCGGTTGTCTACCACAATCGTGCACGTGAAATATCTGAGGTCATGTGATCTTCGGGTGAGTTTCTTCCTATATATTTATCACTCCCACGTGACCTAACCCACAGTTCTGTAATTCAAGTTTCCTCCCTGGAAATCGAGGAAATTTGGGAAATATTGTATGGCTGTTCGCCAGTGGACTTCAAAGTATTGCAAACAAGAATTTGATCCAGATTCCACCAACAAGAGTGTGCGTGCACTTGTGACTGAGTGAAGTAATCTATGAAGTCGAAGCCAGCGCAGATAAAAGGTTATTGGTGATTTGAGGAGATTACGTAACTGGAAAATCAGATTTAATCCTGTCATTATTACCAATCTGTGTTGAAAAGCCGAGGAACATCGTATGTCCGTTTCATCCTTATTGTGCACCATCACCAGTGCGAATCAGACGACCCTGCTCAGAGGAAAGAGTTATTCAAGAGACGAGTGGAACTTCCATCTGCGCGGTGGTCCCTCAAGGAGCCAGTCAACATGTTACCATATGATACAGACTCCGTGTCTAAACTATGAGTTACTGACAATGCAGGTCAGCCGCTCATGAAAGAACACTTAAACGTCCGAGTTTGGTACACTCTGCTGGATTTTCGCAGGATAAGCATTGCTAATGATTCCCAATTAGGATGAAACGCCTGAACAGTACTTCTCGGCTCTTCGAACAGGACGAGCATCGAGAATTACACTCATCTGCATATCACTTCGGTTTTGATGGCAGGCACACGTGGAATCCAGTTCAATCTTTCCTTTTTTTATGAGGTTTCATGTTTCAGTCAGCACGATATTTCAAATATTGCGATACTAAAAAACATCATAAAAACGAGACTGAGTTGGGTTCTAGATGAGTCTCTCAGCAAAGCTAAGTTTGGCATACTGGTTCATTTCCCTAACTGTTAGACAGGAATTCACACGGATCCCGTTACACCGCACGTCTTCAGGGGCTGCTACGGCCGATAAGCCTAGCCCGCACCAGACTAGCCAAAAATTCGGGAGACTTGCCTGTCCGGCATCAAGACGAGATCTAATTGGTCGAGAATCTGGACCCAACAGCCAATCATGACCCAGTATTGGCCAAATGCCGGTTGCCAATAGCGCATCTAGAACGCGTCAGAAGTTCCAGAAAGTTATAACCGCCTACGCTGTTTGTAGGAAGCGCCGTACAGCTGTTCCTGACTTCGTTTTGGACATTAATAGACCTTGTGCACCTTTGGTATTGCGATACTAAAAAACATCATAAAAACGAGACTGAGTTGGGTTCTAGATGAGTCTCTCAGCAAAGCTAAGTTGGCATACTGAGTGTATTTCCCTAATTGTTAGACAGGAATCCACACGGATCCCGTTACACCGCATGTCTTCAGGGGCTGCTACGGCCGATAAGCCTAGCCCGCACCAGACTAGCCAAAAATTCGGGAGACTTGCCTGTCCGGCATCAAGACGAGATCTAATTGGTCGAGAATCTGGACCCAACAGCCAATCATGACCCAGTATTGGCCAAATGCCGGTTGCCAATAGCGCATCTAGAACGCGTCAGAAGTTCCAGAAAGTTATAACCGCCTACGCTGTTTGTAGGAAGCGCCGTACAGCTGTTCCTGACTTCGTTTTGGACATTAATAGACCTTGTGCACCTTTGGTGGTTGTTTTGACGTGAAGGCTAGCTTGGGAGGCTCAGATCGTGAACTAAGCTGAGGAAAATACCATTTCTACACTAACTTTGCGCAATTTGGGTTCAAGAAGAACATAACATAAAGTTGATAGAACGTCGTGATGAGCCCCAAGAATGGCGAGACGGATTGTCTTCTGTTGAACATTTTTCAGCAACCTCATGAGTTGTGTATTACACTTAAAGATTAGCTTCACTTACAGGACAAGGTCGCAGGTGGGAAGCTAAATGTGTTTCCGACTTGATGGCGTAATCTTAGTAATACGGGTGATCAATAACTACCCTCGATATTGAGCAATCTGGCGTTTTGTTCACGTATTTGACAATTCCCGCCTTATCACCACAAAATTATACGTAATCAAAATTATAAAGAATGCATCAGGTAAAGCACAGCAGTTCACCGTATCAAGTTCAGCCAACAGTCTAGCGATACTTTACTCACCATCTTTCGTGTTGTCCCAGTAACATGAACTTGCGTTGTACAATCCACCACCGTTCTTTTGAGCCAGAGTACAGTTCACTTAGGGGGAAAAAGGGAGATCACAGTGAATAGGTAAATTCGTGGCTTGCTTTCTGTAACACTGACAGCGCTGAATGACGCTCAGTGCACCAAGTTTTGTCAACTAACCAACTCTTCAACACATATTGACTTTATGGCTTGAACTTGGTAACACGGTGATCAATAACTACCCACGATATTAGGGAATCGAGCGTATAGTTCACGTCCAATGCAATGCCCGTCTTATCATCACAAAATTATACATAATCAAAATTTCAAGAAATGCATCAGACATCTTCCAGAGTGCACAGCAATTCACCGTAACAAGTTGAGCCAACAGTTGAGCAGTACTCACCATCTTTCGTGTTGTCCCAGTAACATGAACTTGCGTTGTACAATCCACCACCGTTCTTTTGAGCCAGAGTACAGTTCACTTAGGGGGAAAAAGGGAGATCACAGTGAATAGGTAAATTCGTGGCTTGCTTTCTGTAACACTGACAGCGCTGAATGACGCTCAGTGCACCAAGTCTTGTCAACTAACTAACTCTTCAACACATATTTAGAATAAAAATAGCAAGGTCCAATAAAAATTTGTTGCCTACCTTATCGATTAGACTACAATACCTAACCACGAAATTTTCGGGATTCAGAGTGCCACTACTTTTTGGATGTTCACATCTCAGAAAGACGAGAATCAAATTGCCTCCCATTTCTTGCATTTTGGGAATAAATGGTACTGCACTAAATGGAAGTCGAATTGGAACCCGCAACGGTGCAAAACTGTGCCGCGTCGGACTATCACAGAATCTTTTCAAAGACTGTGTGAGTGCAGTTCTTCCGGTTTCTCATCCGCTCTGGGGAATTCCCGCCTGCCAGAACATGTCGATGCCTATCACTACGACACGTTAATGGAGCCTTGGCACAACTGCTTCTAAAGGATTAGTGGTCGATCCCCGTCAAGATCCTATAGACGTAACGATGTATACTACTGAGGAAGCATGTGGGTAGTGTTTGGTCTAGTGTCCAAGCTCTGCCCCCCGTAGCTAATAGAAGATGGAAATTATGAAACCGATTCGCAGTATTCTTTCATTGTTTTCCAATGTGTAAATAACGTCCGGGATAGTTTAAAGTGACGCTTAAGGATGTTTAAATTCGTATCTAATGGTTTGTAACCGCTTTGTTTGTGGGCTAATGAACTGCTCTGCTGCGAAGGACGTCCCTCCTTCCATGCAAACAACTCTCCCGATATTCCCAAGAAAACTGAAGACATTTGCCTATAGGACTTCGTCAGATAGCGTCGAATCTGGCCAAATTTCACTGCGTCCCATTTTGGGATTGTCCATCGTTTTGCCTTCTTCACTAACACAATTCACATAATTCTCGGTCCAAGAGGGCGAAATGAATGTTCACATCTGATGACGTGTGTCATTTACCCGTACTAATTCAATGGATACGAGTGACCCGAAATCGCCAAAAGCTTAATTCTTACGGGATTAAGGTTACAACATCCTGTGCCTTGTAGATTTTTATCATTGGAAGTAGCCAAAGAAATGTGTGTGTGTGTCTGTGTGTGTGTGTGTGTGCGCGCCTTCCTGTATCTGGAGGGACGGGCTGGATAAAATTGTGATCTTTATTGTCTGTGAGGCAGCCGAACATACAACGTGCTTTCTAAAAGTTATGAATTTAGGCTTAAAAGCTACATGTTTGGGAAGCGATTTATTGACCAGCCCGCTCTCCTACAGGGAGAACGTTGTGAACAGATCATCTAAAAGAAGAGGTCGCTTTCTATTGGTTACTCAAGGTCAAAAACCCTTGAGAGACCACCTCTGATTGGTTTTTTGAATGATCTCTCTGGAGTGGAATTCTGATTGGTCCTTTAGAATGACAAATGACGTGCGTGCTTTCTAAAATTAATCCAAATGAATTAAACATATATGTGCCTCCGGACAAGTAAATGGTAGTCAGAATTTGTGGAGGGTTAATCTTCTAAGGACATTCAAAGAAGATATGCGCACCGTGAAAGGATAAACTTACCAATATACTTGTAGGGTTTAGAAAGCTTTACCAGTTTATCCAGGCAACCTTCAATTATCGTTCGAGCCCACTGTTGCGTTTGATCGTGTGCATAAGACTGTTGACTAAGCACTGTCTCTATACTCTAAACCGTCAGATTTGCGGCACATTTTTGCCAAATGAATTGCTTACTTTTCGGACGATGGATTCCACCTCTTCAACACTAAATTGCATCTGAAATTGAAACGGTTTGTTTGATCAAGTTAGAAAGAATTTTTTTGTTTTACTCTTGAATGGAACACTGGATAAATGAATATTCCATTTAGGCCAACGGATCATCATCGACAGCATAACATCAGTGTTCAACATCGATACTTCACTGCCGTATAGTTGTGAAAGTCATGGTTGTACGAGGTTTCAGATACTGCCAGGGCGCCCACACCTAGACAGGAGGACGATTGGGGTCCTCAACCAAAGCCTTCGGCTCAAAAGCCTAACCGCAAGGCAGCGGTGTTTGGCGGTAAATGCATTAACATTTCTACGGAACAAGTCGCCACATTTTTGACCCCCAACCTGGGGGACCAGGAGACTGTGTTCGTCAGACCTCTAACCATTGACCAACCTGGTGTGAGAGACTCTGTGAGCGTCGCGGGAACAGTCCCCAGTATAGCTCAATGGATCGCTGGGATGCGCAAACCGTCACACCACGGCAAGGTTCAGTCTCTTCGTGACGTTATAAACGAATAACACCTATTAATAGACCGTCGAACTCTGTCTTCCTCTTTCGCGGTTGTTTTTCTTTGCCGTTTATTTTCACACCCAAGTGGAGCAGCAGGTTAACAAACCTGAGAAACCCAACCCCAACCCCCGAAATTCACCTAGTTTCGATAACGGACACGTGTTTCTGTTCTTAACGAATGTTCACTACGTCACACATCATACGAGTAGTATCAGAAATATAAGAATCCCGATCAATGCGACTTCTGTGTTTAGGTCCTTACTCTAGAGACGAAAAAGGGACTCGCTGTAACGAAAATGGTTTTAGAGCTAGCGAAATACACTCATTTACACACAACTTTGGTTTTGAGAGAGACTCACCTGGAACCCAGCTGAATCTCTCATTTATGATCTTTCCAACTGAAACATGAGGCGGTCTGGCGTAGCACATTCATTTGCTTAGAAACATCATAAACGAGAGAGTCAGTCGGATTCTAGATGAGTCTACCGCAAAATCAAATTTGTTTGCAAATGAGTGTATGTTCCCCGATTTCGTGCAATTTGATTTCAACGAAAGGTTGATGGAAACTCGGGGACTGCGCCTACCTTATGAGCCCCAAGAAAGGCGGAACTGGTCGTGGGCTGCCGAGTAGTGCATACATCTATAAGAGTTACGCTAACTTTTTAGGTTTCAGATTGACGGCCGACCGCAACTGCTAAAGCCGCGAAAATTCGAACCTGGGTCTTTACTGATCAAAGCCATGATGTACTCAAGCAGAACAAACTAAAAGACCACGAGCCTTCGACTGAGTTCTGTCTACCACGGCCTGCTGGACATTTATATGAGAAGGAAAATATAACCGACACATTTGGCTGACTTAATGCACGACTTGGCAAGCCAAACGAGAAGCGGCCAATCTAGATAAGAACATTACTTATGTGCTACTGAACAGTAAATAGTAGTAAAGTGCTCAGATCATTTTGGTGCTGCAGAGGGTGCGGGCTGTGGGTTAGTCACTGCCAAAATCAATAAGTGGCACAAGGAGACCAGTCTGTTTTTCATTTATCGGCATTTGACCCAGCTTTTAGATGATAGTGATCCATCAGCGTTTAAACAACGGTCTACATTTCAGGTGGCATTAGGAGCAGTGAGAACTGAAACTCACAATTGTGGTTACAAGCCACAAAAATTACCGGTTGGAAAGGAGCAGAATAGTGGTTGAGGACATAGGAGACTTGACTACAATGTCAGAGAGTGAAATAAGACAATAGCCTATGTAGAGGAGAATTCCAGCTGCTTCAACACTGCAGCAAAGAGTCCTGTTGAGTCACATGCTTCGTCGCTGTACGCTCACCATCAACGGGGCAGCCGATGAACAACTGACGCAGATACCATCCAAAGTGTGCAAAATCGTTCTGACCAAGGCGTTAGCATCACGGTTTTAGAAAAGAGCTGCATCTACGCGGCTTGAAAATTTGCAAAGCAGCTCTTTGAAAACAATACGAAATATGTGAAAATTACTTGGAACCGATTGAATAGTCATTGTTTTGGAAAAATTTTGGTGACAATCGGTGGAGGTTTTAAGACGGGGACTGTGATTCACACTAGAGCGGCCGATGACATAGGCGGTGGAAATTACTAAGCATCACAGAGTGAAGAGGATCGAGGGTGTGGAGCTGGCGAGCGTATGGAAAGCGGTCTTAGATAAGCCGAGTTGACACGTAACTACGTCAATCCACGTAGAATCATTAGCAAAAACTGGGGTAGGGGTGGGGGTGGAAGTTCCAACCCGATCAAAGGTCACAACATCCCTCTTACGCAACAATCTTAGCACTAGCTCATCCACACAGACGGGCAGAAGGTTTAAACGATGTTTAAGAGGGACCATCAAATGAACCGAACCAGAAGATCTAGACCCAGGCTGGACCCAAGCACAAGCAGGTTTTCCCATCGGACCAACACTTGTTCACGCACCCCAACACACAAGAATCCCTCCACCGACACCCTACAGAGATTTAGCTTGACTTAGCCCACCGGTTCTCCTTCCGCCTCGAAACCTAGTCACTTGGCCTGACGAAGCTTTTGTGTCAAAAGCGAAACGTTGCCCAGCAATAAATCTACCGATTGTCACCAAACTTTTTCGAATACGAAACGTGATTTAACCCAATTAACCAATCGACCGAGTAGGTTCTTAAGACTTCCCCAAGGATTGAGGCGGACATGAAAGGTGGGAACACTTTTGCTTGACCATTTCATTAAGCAATAAATATGAATAGAGTACTCCTTTTCAACGAAGATTCCGTCCAGTAAGTGAAGCCATCCCATGCTGAAAAGCCGAGAAGCACTACATAGTTTTTTAATTCGTGTTAGGCATCAACAGCCGTGCATACCTCATGAAACTTCAGGTCGTTTCGAAACCGCAGCCTCCCAGTTGTTGGTTCGAACCAGTGGTCTTTCGGCCACAACAGGCTGATCAACTGTTTGGTTAGCTGGTGCCAATCTCGCGGCTGTATTGTCTGGTTCGCGCCACTTTCTTTGAATCAACATCTTTGCCTTGAATTGTATTGATTTCTGCGGGCTGCCGGCTAGTTTTGCTTAGGCAAAAATAATCTCGAAAGAATCGCACTTGGGTGCATCCTCAGACTTCCTTCAGGTGATACTCAGTAGAATCGCTGTTTTCGGAAAAAGCATGAAAATCGGTTAAAGCTTACATGCCCCATCGATTGCTTAGTCGAACAGTTCAGCAAGAATGTGAAACAGACTCATTTTGGTCGGTACACTTGCCCAAGACCATCCAGCCATCCGGCGTTCCTACAGAAACCACAGTATGTGTTTCGTAGACTACCAGTGAAAGGAAGAAGGCCTTCGCTGCGGAGTTGTTCGTTAGAAAATGTCATGAGACAGAGAAGCAAAACCGTATTTGCATCTTATTTCACGGACATCCATCTTCTCCTGAACGCGTCCTCTTGAACTCTCCTGGCTATCCGTTAACTCCAGTCATTCGTTGCTCAAATCCAAGTAAATGTCACAAAGCGACTCCACAAAGTCCGCAACAGATTTCCCATTTTCAAGAGACGCAAAGCGAAATTCCAAGAACAACACATACCTACTCACATCTTCCCCATCAGCAGTACTACCGTTACACCAGTGTGCTCAAGACAGTAAGGTCTTTGATGAACCGAAAGTGTAGTGGGTGGTTCAAAATACCTACAGACGGGTATTATGTGGCAGAACATATGAAAAATCAATGTCTGTAGGAATGCGAATGTGGAATCCAGTCAAGGTCACACCTGAAAATACCTTTGCAGTCAAAAGATTCGTTTCTGCATCGGTGAGTAGCAGAATAGCAGAAAGCCACACCATTCTTATCAACCATTTAGATCATTTTATTAGTGCCTAATTTTTCTAAATTCGCGAGTGATTTTGGTTTTTCGAAAAAAATCAGAAATAGACTTGAAGTGCTGAACTCGTGTGAGTGAATTTTAGGTATGTACGAAGCACATTTCCGCAGTATCCTAGATTGAACAAAGTACATCATCAAAAAATCTATATGGCTGAACTATCCTGATCTCTCTGCCGACCCAAGTAAAATTGCTCCAGGCTGGCGGTCGACACAGAAACTGCCATACATACAGGCCGCCTCATTTTTCAGTCACTACGATATTCGAGATATCCCGGTACATGTATATCTTTGTGATGTACTACTCATAAGGTTGTTGAAAATCCGTCGACAGCCCACGACCAGTTTCGCTATTTTTGGGGCTTATCAGGTAGGCGAAATCCCCGGGTTTCCGTCAACCTTATGTTCTACTTGAAATCAAATTGCACGAAATTAGCTAATAAACACTTGGTCGTGGGCTGTCGATGGATTTTCAGCAACCTTGTGAGTAGTACATTACAAAGATATGCCATACTTACGTTTTGTTCGTAAACAAAGCGCACGTAAGGACCTTTTCCAATTTTGAGAACCAAATCGTATTGTTCGTTGGGAAAACGCTGTTGGCAGATTCATCTTCGTGAGTGATAAAGACGATGTTAACAGATTTTTCAAGGTTCAGAACAATAAACCAATGAGGATTTCTCAACACCTTGCTTTCTCTATCAAGGAGAACGTATGGCGCACTCACACACACAGGTTGAACACATGACTGGAGCCCCTTCACATTAGAGCAATTGACGATCAACGAGTCATTGCAAGACTCATCAGAATCCAAAAATAAATGACTGTGGATCGGCACACTACTGGGTTGCACTCATGCAGGATAAATGGTGCTCCACACCCAAGTTCTGTTCAGATTCCAAGACCGCTATCCATACGACATACGACAGATTCCAGTTTATGAGGTAAAGCGGTGCACCGAAGCTAGTCGACCAAAATCAAGGAAAACCTCTTTCCGTAAACGGGCACCATGTTTCGGACAGTAGACACGGGCCATCACACACACACACACACACACCGCACTTGCAGTTTGGCTGAGTGCCCGCACAATCATTTGAGCTGAGCAGTCCTCGCTCTAGTCTACTCTGCTCAATAGCTTCCGAAATTCTCCCAAGCTGAAATCATGTACTTCTGAGCTAACGTACTCCGAAACGTGTACTTTATATTCCTTATTCAATCACTACTGCTGTGGTCTAGCTGGTCCTAGTACCTGGCTGTGCAGTTCATCAGTATTTACCTGGAATTCGTCAGGATGACTGTACATCACCTAGGCCTTGGTGGAAACGGCTCACTTGGTCTCACCTGAGCCAACTAAATTGATATGGGGAACAATCCATCCAACATGAAAGTTTATGGATTTACAACACAGACACACTGCGTTTCAACTTACTGTTATGTAATGGAGGTAAACTGGCATGGAGATATCACGCAGTGGGTGTAGTCGGCTAGTTCTGGTGTATCTGAAGGAACGCCAGTTAGAAATACGATGCAGCTCCCCAAGCGAACGGATGTTCGGGGGTTCAAATCGCGTCCGACCCTGCAACTGACCTCTTTGCGCTAGTAAGCGATGGAAGGGCCTATGTAGACTTTTTACTGGGTACTGTACCTAGCGGGGCACCTACCTGGTTTAGCGTGTACGTGGTGAGTCTGACGGGCAGCATGAAAAGTGGTATTTGTTGAGCGAGTATCAAGACAGTCAACATCAGACGAAAACCACAATTCATCCTCTGTATATGAAAGATACTCTGTCGATGAGTTACGCCCAGCCGAATAGCCTATACCCCCCCCGTTATAGTGTTCTTTGAGCCATACAGCGCTGGTATTTCTCGGCGAGGATAAAAGAGGTATATAGTGCTCGCCAAAACTCTATACTATATGGAAGGTCATCCTAGGACCAAAGTTTATAGCTTTTACCATAGTTGACTACTTCCCCTTTAAGGTGTTTTATATATTTTTTCATAAAAAGTTAGTAATTAACAGTTTTGAACTCAATTATTGTATATTTATTGTTGATTATAAAATTTGGGAATGTGAAGTTGTCAAAATTTCCGAAAACTTTAATCGTTTGGGACGCAAAAATTGGATTACCGTTGCCCGAAGACGTTCTCCGGAAGTGCCGCAAAATATTTTCACCAATATGGTAGTTTTTCACTTGGGAAAAAATGCAATAACATGGCATATACAATTCTTAAAATACTTAATTCCGTTCATACTGAATTCGAAACGGATACCTCCCCCCCGCAAACTGTCAAACAATCGAATGGCTATGATTAAGAAACAGCCAACTATAATAGTCACCAGAGTTCCACTGTAGCTTCATGGTAGATTAGACTCAATATCTTGGTTTACTTCTAGTCATTTGATTGTTTCTATTTCAGGAGTGGAGTGGTCGCACTCCCAGGTAAGAAGGTGAGAAATCAAAACCGATTTCCGATAGCCACAGACGGCATGTGATATCGAGATTCAAACTAATTTAGTTGAAATATTTCTGTTCACTCCGCTTGCTCTCTCTCTCTCGCTGTTTTAAAAAAGCAGCGTACAGCTGTTACCAACATGGAATTTTGGAAAATCAATATGAATAGCGTTTTTGTAGTGCCCATTTCAAAAGCCTAGTTGGTATTTCGGACCACTAAAATGTGATAGACGGCACACACTTTCCTTCAATTCGATCGTGTCAACCACTTTGGTCACCCTCGTCCACAAAACGGCCTACTGATGACGGTGTGACCTTTGCTTAGGCAGAAGACAAACGAACATTTTCACTGCGCATATTTAGCTTGGAACGTTGTTCTGGCCCCTCCGGGGAGAACGGGTTGATTGTTCATCCAGTGAAACTGAGAAATTAGACGCTTCCTTTCCCATTAGCTATCTTTCTTTCTGACAAAGGGATGAGGAAAAAAACTCGTTTGCTTTCGCAGGATGGATGGGAAGTCTTATTAGATGAACCAAGGATTCATAGAATAAATTTGGGGAAATCTGTCATGAAATGGAGACTCTTGATACCCTCAAGTCGTCAAGGTACGGCGTGTGTGTGAGACCTACCAAGGCCCGGATCAGTCAACCATCAAATGCAAACACCGGGTGATGCGATCCCGCGTGGACACGTGTGAATCAACATGTTACGCGATAAAAAGGAATCGATCGATGAACGGGATATTAACATGTATATCTTTGTAATGTACTACTCATAAGGTTGCTAAAAATCCGCTGACAGCCCACGACCGGTTTCGCCCTTTTTGGGGCTTATCAGGTAGGCTCAGTCCCCGAGTTTCCGTCAACTTTATATTCTACTTGAACATGTTATCCATGAAATGGCTGACAAACGGATGAGCTGTGAAGCCTCTCGGTGATAATTTTCAATTCATCAAGCAGTTCACATCCAGTCGATAGATTTTCAATCCAAAAGTACAAATCACTGTGTATGAAAGGGAGACAAGGAGGTCTGGGCTGGGTCTGAACAAACAGTTTCCCAAAGACTAGGCGGGTATCAAACTACCGTGCCCTTGTACTGCAGTATGAATTTTGCCTACGATGCGCGATGCATCCAACCCAGAATATATCAACTATGAGCGTGAGCACCTTCCACGAACTTCCAACAATCGGTTTACAGCTAAAATTGATGCACGAATTTATGTTCCTAGCCCAACCTGCTCCGGATTATAAGTACCAGGTGACTTGGAAGTAATTACAGGAAGAACAAAATTCAAAAAATTGCTTCCGGTGATTTAAAACTCCTGGCATGGGGTATGGCAAAGTACAGGAGAAGACGATGACATCATAGAGGATATCCTGGAGATCTGATTTGGCTGGTCTCTTCTGGTGACAGGGGTCCGCGTTAGAGTGGGTCGACTAAACTCTTCGTTTTGTGTGAAATCAAAATGCTCCTTAAGCTAACATAAGTTTTTTTGTGGTAAATAGTATATTGGTAATGTGTCACAATAGCGATAGCTCGGGTGAGTTTATAGGTTGCTGATCAGGTGACTTTTGATCCGTTCGCCGAGCTTGTCAAATGAGTTGCAACTGTTTCGACACCATACGAAGCGACATCGTCAAAGAAGTGCAGACCACTACGCAACAAAGTACCATACAAGGTGACGTTGTCAAAGGAGTGCAGACCACTACGCAACAAAGATCAAGAGCGGAGCAATAAATCTCAAAAACACTGTTCCCAACTTAGCCAACCGCGTTGACAGATAACAGATAACCTTCAAACGCTACATAAAACCACCAAATGCCAGCTGACTTTCGTACTGATGATATCCTCTTGTATGAAGGCCAAACGTTTGCAAGTTAACCCGGGCAAACAGACCAACAGCCACCGGATAACTGATATATTTCTGTGCATGTCACATAATACAACGCATATATTCCTGTAATCGATCCAATTAAGAACAAGATTCTTACATGGGCATCAAGTATGGGACATTACTGGGAGCCTCCGTGGCTAATTTGTGAACGAAATCTCTCTGCTATTACTTAAGACGTTTTTGAAATCTGTATCGCCATTTCTGGGACCCATCTGATAGGCACGGTCATGTGTTGGGTCCCAAGAAGGGGGAAACCGGTCATGAATGGAAATACAACTGGGAGGCAGCTGAGTTCGTCCTTGAAACCAAGCTGGTGTGTGAATTCGGTAATTCACGGATGTCTCTGTTAATTTTTGCGTACTACTGAAATCGGTCTCCGTTTGCTCTAATCAATGAGTTGACTAGATCATGGTGGTCTATGGAAGTACCTGCAGAAATGGCGTGACCCCCGAGTTTCCGTCAACCCAAATAGCACGAAGTTGAACTTATATGATCTGCGTTGCAGTTTGGTTTTCGCGGTAGAGTTACCTCATTCCCAACTGAAACACCGCTTGTGATGTTTTTCTTTAACTGAGTGTGCTGCACCAGGTCACCTCATAGCGTGGTACATCCAATCAAAGAAGAACCCATAAACAGGAGTTCCCCTTGGAATTCAGGTGAGTCTCCAACTTTATATGCAGATGAGTGGATTTGTAGAGTGACAAGAAGAAAGTTTCAGGATAGCCTTGTGAATACATCTAGAACAGCATGGGTTCAAGCCAATGGTTATTGTCGGATGTAAACATGGTTCGAAAAATACCTTCAGCAGAACGATCTGTCTGCCCCGAATGTGGACTAATTTTGTGGTTCCTGATGGATGGTCAACAGAGACGTGCTCGTCAGCTCGTACACGTTAAGTAAAAGTCAAACACGGACCAAAATACCTTGATGTTTTAGCCAATCCACACAGTGTTTTCCTCCAAAAAGACCGAAATCAGAATAGGTCATAAGCTACGCACATTAGGAAATCAATTCAAGAAAAGTTAATTTCCACCTTTATTCAGGTTAGACGTCATTTATTTGATCTGCAACCATGGTGCCTGTAAGAAACATGTAAACTTATTGCCTTTTTAATGGCTAATGAGGAAACTTTGATTGACAGTCTGTTAGGATGTAAAGATCTTTAGAGAGTTTGATTTTTTTCAAAAAAAAGAGCCTTCAAGCACCAGCTTTTTATTTTCAAAAGTACCAATTTCCTTGAGAATTTAGTCGTGTAAGTGAAGCCAAACTATGCGAAAAAGCTGAGAAGCACTCTAGCTCAGAGAAGGAATACAACTCACCCGCGAGTGAAACTTCCAGCTGAGAAGTCATCACTCTTGGAGGCAGTCAACGCAAAATCACGTGATTTGGATCCCGTGATTGGAGAGTGGATGACGCTATTTAAGTGCGAGTTAATCACGCCGCTGGTTAGTGGCTCGCTGCCGAATGCTAACAACTGCGAGGTTGCGCGTCAAGAATCCCATGAAATGTGTACTACTGATAGTTTTCAGTAAGGAGCTGTGCAGAGCTGTACAATGCTTCTCGGTTTTTCAACATAGACTCGCATCGTTTACAGGACGAGTACGTATTTCACCTTATTCTCCGCAAAAAACTCCCGCAATGTGATCCCATCACGGAAAAACGCCAAAAGTTTTCTTCAAATGTTTAACACCGTTTACGCGCAAAAACCCCTTGCCGTATAAACAATATTCGGAGAGTTAACACACCTAAACTGTAGGTTGATACACATATATACGTTCACCCAAAGTTCATGGGGACAGACCCGATAAGGCTACAAAATCTCCTTCGACGTATTATGGTATCACAAATCCAGAATCAGACTTACTGCGGCTGGTGTGCCCGAATGCAGCACCTCCACGGCTTGCGCTGGTTTCATTGTCATGTAATCTCAGATTGTCTATTCTCTGTGCTTGTGTGCCGCCAACTGTTTTGGGCAACGCGGTTTTGTCAAGAATACCCAACCAGGATATGGTCTGCGAAGGATCAATTCTGCTGGGATATCCTAGCGCGATTTGTGCTCAAAAAGTTTTGGCGTGTTGTGCCACAGCTGTTCCGGTGTACGTACGCACGCACGCGCACACACAAATGCTTCTGCCAAGAGAGACTGACCAAACCAAATTGCCAGAACGTCGCCACGTGCCAGCACACATGCACATTGGCTTCCTACAAACGCAAAAGTGCAGTGTTAGATGTGTTGCCAAGCTCACGTGATCAACACATGTGCGCATGTGGTGATCGAACAGGTTAGCAGGTGTGCGTTGCATGGACTGCGGATAAAAAGCTTTATTTAAGGATTCAGTCAATCAGACAAATTGTTGAAACGGATCAAATATCCGGGGAAGTCCATCTAATGTGTTCCAAGTTTCTTTCAAAATCGAGCATGTTTGAAAATCTCATGATGTAATCTGCGTTGTTCATGGGATTTATGTTGTTCTTTTGGTGGGGGTTGGCTTTCTGGCGCGGTTTCCATAAGACCAGCTTTAGTTTGCTCTTTCTGACTGAACCAACTTTACGTCTGAACTGTTTTCGTTTCGAATGATCTCATGCTGAAATCCTCACTCATTTGTATTTTGCTCAGGGCAACGCTTTTTGCATTTTACAAATTGTAGAAAACCATAAAATCTGGTGCAAATGAACTGAACAGCGGGATTAGTCCCAACTTGAGATCTGTCAGTCAGACTGAACTGTGGTGGCATTGCACGGTGAACAGTTGATTCTTTCCATACGACCCTTGTCGTAAGATCCGCTGCCCTTGAATCAAACTATACAGCAAAGGATTCTGGTTTTAAAAGCTTCCGTTCCATATGAGATAAGGCGACCTTGATAAAAGGTACGTTTTGTCAAGCCAGAGCCTCAATGAAAATGAGAAAACGACCTTGAAGGCTCATCAGCCGCACTACTGGAAGTCGGTTACATACAAGAAGAGTGTTCAGTATGAAACGAAACCCGGTTTGGTCTTTCAGTAGCAGTTTGCACCACGTGACAAGTTTAGGCGACAAACTGAGAGATTAGTGCGCTGGTGATCGAAGCGAATTCGCGTAAGATTATTCAACCTGAAGTCCTTGAGAGTACCAAGCCCACGGTAACCAATAATAAAAACCAACCAGGACAAATCAGGCACTTTCGGTGTTTTATGGTTTGCTTACCTAGTTCATGCTGGTGAGGTAGCTCGGACGAGCATGAAAGAGCTCTGAGCACGCTCACATAAATATGGGAGTCCTGAGTCTCTCCCCCGGTCATTCGTTTCAAACAGAGGCAGTGGTTTCATCATCATCATTGTCAGCTGTAAGAACCGCGTACTTGTCGTACAGTGGTTGTAGCTGCCACAGTTTGGTCCTCCGATGGTTTGGGGAGGTGGGGTAGGTAGCTGCGCATTGCATGCGCGAGCTAGTAAATTGGTGCATAAATCCAGCACTGTCATTGGGCTGTCAAGTGGGGGTTGGATAAGGAGCTATGCATTGAGGGCAATAGCTTTGATGCACGAGCGCCACTGAGGGCGCGACTGGGCCATGTCTGATAATGTCTCTAGCCATTGATGTGGCCCGTCTCGGGGTCCCCATCCAGGAAGACGGCAGTGACCAGCGCAGCTGAGTTTGCTGGTAATGGCTTTCATACTTCGCTGCCAAGTCATTGTTTGACCGCCTCTGGCTCTCTTCCACCCTTCACATGGTTGGGCGAAAAGAGCCCTTCGAGGAAGTCGGTCGACTGGCATACGCAGCACGTGGCCAAGCCAGCGCAACCTGTGCAGTGTGATCAGTTCATCTATCGAGGGTGAGTTATTTCTCCCGAATACCATTCGACGTACTTCAGAATTGCTGATCCGGTGTTCCCACCAGATTCGGGCAATGCTCCGAAGACATCGATGGTCAAACACTGAAAGTCTTTTGACGTCCTCGGCGCGCAGCGGCAAGGTTTCTGATCCATATAGTAATATGGAGCGCACCGCAGCATTGTAAACTCGACCCTTGACAGAGAAGCTGATGTCACGCCTATGCCACAGGTGACGTAGGTTCGCAAAAGCTGCTCTGGCCTTCCCAATCCGGTTTGGTGCCGGTATGGTTCATTGGAACATCAACGAGTTGGTTTCTAACGACATCTGCATTTTGTGGCCAGTAAGCATTGAAGCCTGTCAATAATCGTGTCACTTACGCCAAAATTTCACAACAGTTGCCCGTTAAGATGATCTTAGGGATCCGCATGCGCCCGTTTCCCAACACCGACGCCAGCACTCAAACAGATAACACGAATAGATCGATTCAATCCAACTTTATTTTCTGGTGCTTTCTTGCTATCACAACAATAACGCCGTTTCCTTATTGATGAATTGAGATTCAGCCCTTTTGGTCTGGGAATTTTGGGTCAACCTGGCTCGGACAGCTTTAGAAAGATTGAGCGCCATTTGGTGTCACAACACAGCCAATTTGGGGAAGCTCTTCCAGATAAGCGTCGCAAAACATTAAACCCCGCCACCAAAAAAGATTAGAAATAAGAGGATATGAAATTTGTACTTTTTGTTTTCATTGAAGAGGGTGAAATTGGGACATGTCACTGTAGCGTGGGATGTCAGGAAGTCAGCGGTATTCGACGTTCGAGAGGACGGCACACGTCAGTTCTGAAATGTGCAGATATACGGGCTGGTATTAATGAATCCACACAGTATACACAGTACACATGCGCACAGGTCGGGTGGAACAAGGAAGAAGACCGGAGTGTAGCAGCAACGCACGTGTATTAACCCGAACCGAAACCGGAAAGAAGTAGAAAAGTACAATCAAAGGGGGGCCGGTCAAGGTCAGTCCGGGGGGGGGCATCCCTCCGAAAATCAACTACTGGGGAAGGACTCGTCCTGCGTGGTTTTTACGGCGAGATACTGGCGTTTCATCGATCTCGACGTGTAGACCTCGGCGATAACTGTTAGAGTCTGCAAAAGCCACCAGGCGCAAACTTCGCGAAGAAAGTTTTTCCAGTCAACAGTGGTCGTGTGGTTGATAGATAATTCCTCTGAGCAGAATTTGATTTTCGTCAAATTTTTGGACCAGTAATAAATGAATAGGATTGCTGTCCTAAACTCCATCCTAGACCGCTCCAGATATGTTCCTTGTTGAAGGTCGATTTCTTGCCGACACTGTCGGGCTTTATACCACCTGTTAGAAACAGTTGAAAGTGTCATTTGGTGGCCATTGTTGCATAAACGTTGCTGGTGGATCACCCCACGGCTTTGCCAAAAACGTATTGCCGTCTCCTTGTCGTGCACCAGAGTTGGAAGCGTCAGAAAGTTCATTCAAGGTTTTACATCCGAACGGAGGAAATGTTTGCACAAAATGAGCCTAGATGCGGATAAGGAATTGTTTTCATCAAGAATAGGTCAAGGTTGTGTGCGTACATTAAATTGGAGCTGGCAAAACGTGGTGGGGCTCAACTTTTCGCACATGCACTTTTTGCATTGGTGGCGGGACTTATCTGGAAAAGATCCCATTTGGGTGGCTACCTTTGTTCGACTGTCTTCACATAAGTGGTTTTGCTTGATCATAGCGGGGAATTGCAATTCTTCGATAGTTTCGCGAACACACTCCATAGACAAGCGAACGTTCATATTTTCAATGTTGGCACAGTTGTAGCTAACTACATAGAGTGTCGATCATTGATTTTTGGGAACGTTTCGTTCCATGCACTAGTTGATACAGCATTCGGCTTCTATATTGACCGATTCATCGCTCGCATCAGCTTTGCAAAAACGGAGGGGGCTTTCGTCCAATTGCTGCTATATCGTTCTAGGTGATGAGTAAATATTGTGTCGTGCAGACGATACTGGAAATTCTATGTTGAATCTTAGTGTTCTGCCTACTGCGGTCTGTTGATAGACATGGCGAAAGGAAGAAGGCCTTCGCTGCGGTGTTATTTATTAGAAAATGCCAACTGACCAGTTACAGACTATTGGAGAGGGAAGCAAAACTCTCCTATGCATCCTGTTTACAAAAACTGAACATCAATCTTCTCTTGAAAGCGTCTTCCTGAAATTTCCCAGGATATTCATAGACCGTTGCTCAAATCCAAGCAAAGGCTACAAAGCGACTTTACAAATTCCACAATAGATCCCACTTTTCAAGAGACGCAAAGCGAATTTACAAGAAGAAAACATGCTACTCGCGTGCTTCTCCCATGAGACAAAAAGCTACAAGAAGAAAACATACTACTCGCGCGCCTCCCCCATCAGTAGTATCACCGTAGCTCCAGACAGTCTTTTACGAAAAAAAGCAAAAAATTTACAAATGCATTTATAAAGGACCGAGCCAGAATCTTCTCGATGGGGCAAGAAGTTTCGAGCTAAACTGTTAAATTCCGACTGGGTTATTTGCTGGTCGATTAGAACATGTATTCTTTTTGTGATTAGCCAGCTCATTACACAGGCGTCCAACCGATGTGGTGAGCCGTTTTGAGTGGGTGGCCTCCAAATCAAACTTAGTTTCCAAGGTTTGACCACGGTTTACACGCTAAGTTGTTCATTATTTTGGTTTTATTTGGATTGGATGTGAGATGACTGTTTTGATAACTTGTGTACTCCAAACCGGAAGAAATGAATTTATCTGATGATGAGTGTCTGTCAGAGTGGACAAATTTAAAACCAGCATTTAAATAATGTAAGCGTATTCTTGATTCACTTGAGTGTCACTCAGAGGTTGTCGAATCTCCTAATTTGAGAGGTTGTCACTGGAAGACGCGGCCAACACCGGATCACGTGACGTGAGCTAGACGATTCAACAACAAGGGTGATGCTCTGCCCTGCCTCAAAAATGTTTTACTCTGGTGCTAACTGGAGGTCGCATTATGAGCGAGAAATGAATGTTCTGGGCTTCTCAGATTTTCACTTGCAAGATTAACTCTCTAGGGACGTTTTTTCCCATGGCTCCAACTGAAAAGCCGTTAAGGTTGAGAAACAGCTGACTCGGCTCTATCAACTTAGTGAATTGCCTTGAAGTCTCAGAACTTCTTTTTTCCCACCTGCACACGAA